CCGGCGCCGAGCGGCGCGGCCCCTCCTTCCCGCCACCGCACCTGCCTCTAGGAGGCTCCCCGCGCGCAGGTCCAGTCGCAGCATCTCGCCCTGCGGTCCGGAGGCCGCCTCGTGGCCTGTGTCGAGCAGTAGTGCCGACGGGGAAGGTGCGGCGGTCCTGGGAAAGCGAGCTTGGTGTCACTCGGACAGCCTCTTCCCTTGGCCTCGCGGAGCCTGCCGCGCCTGTGTGGCGTGGCCCTCCAGAGCTCACGTTCTGTTGTTGCCCTTTCCTTACTTTTCCTGATGACCACCGAGGAGGCCTCGTTGGCCTGGCCCGGACCCTCACCCTGAATTGTATTTCAGCGCTCAGGGGTCATCTCACAGAGGCCAGGGCGTGAGGACCCTAGCCTGGCACCCACACCCCAACGCCAGCACACAGTGCAGCCCGGCAAACATTTGCTAATAAAGCTGAGGTGGTTATTTAGCGTTTGCATTACGTGTTTCTAGATATGGATCAAAAACTCTCAAAGTTGGTAGAAGAGCTCACAACTTCAGGGGAACCCCAACTGAATCCTGAGAAAATGAAGGAACTGAAGAAAATTTGCAAGTATGTCTTACAAAGTCCAACGTTTCACGGTGACTGGCTGGCTGAGCACGTCCGTGACAGCCCTGGGAGACTGTGGGGCTTCCCCTGGGGTCAGCGCGCCCCTGCCTGCCCCCACGCTCCGCCCTCTGCTGGGAAGGACCAGCACAGGACACACATACGACGCTTCCCCAGAGCCAGCAGCGCCCAGCCCCTGCAGGCGGTCGTGTTTTGGGCAGTGGTCCCAGGGTGGGGGAGAACACATTCAGGCTGTGGTGGTGTCTGTTTTCTGTGTGTGTGTGTCCTTGAGCGCTTCTGTGTGACTTGCAGTTGGCGCGTGTCTTCCTCTTTATTGTTGGAATATGTGGGGGATACGTGGGGGGAGGCAGGTTAGAGGTCACAGGAGCCGGGCTCCGCAGGTCCTGTCTGTCCTTAGAAGGCGTCCGTCTCTTCCACTGCTGAGAGCCTCTCAGATGTTGGGAACTTAAGCTGAGGAGGTTTACTGATTATCCTTGTGTTGTATTTACGAAACGGGAGAAGTTAAGAAGTGATTACATCTTGATGCAAAGATTTTAGCTCATATCAGGTTTTGCTGCGTGCTCTGGAAAGTCCCCCAACAGCAGGGCTTATGGGGGACAGCTAGGAAGAAGGGCAACAGGAGAGGCAGGGTGCACACCAGCCCTGCCAGGGCCACTCTCAGAGGCCCACAGAGCTTCCCAGGGGGCTGGGAGGTGTGGCCAACCTCTACCAGCCATGAGTGAAGGGGTGTGGCTGGGTCCCAGTGAAACCAGGGGCACTCACACTGAACTTCACATAGTTTTCACGTGCCACAAAGTGTTATTTGCTGATTTAATCAGAGTAAAAACCACTCTTGGCTGGTGGGCCATACAGAAGAAGGCTGGGCCAGATTTGGCCCAAGGACGGTAGATGGTCCAGTCTGCTTAGGAAAAAGAGAAAAGGATTGTGAGAGGGCCTGCATCCCTCCCACTTGTGGAGCCAACTTGTCCTCGAGCACTTGGTGAGGACGACTTCTGTCCCCAGGTCTTCCGAGGAGCAGCTCAGCCACACCTACCACCTGCTGATGGCCCAGCTGAGCCAGGAGCACGCCCAAGTCCGCCTCTCCACCTTCCAGGCTGTGGACGAGCTGTTCACCAGGTCTCACCAGTTCAGGATGCTGGTCGTTTCCAACTTCCAGGAGTTCCTGGAGCTTACGCTGGGCACAGACCACGAGCGGCCGCTGCCGCCGCCCCGGGAGGTGGCGCAGAGGCTGAGGCAG